CCCCCCGATTTGTGCCCGCCAATTTTCCCGCCCGATAAATAATGGTGAACAAATTTAGTTTATATGAAAAGTATAACTCAAATATGGATTAATTAAGTCAATTCATAATGACTAATAAATAAAATTATTTATTTATAATTGAGCATAAAATATAAAGTTTATCTTATAATTTATAAGCGTATTATAAATTGAGTAGCTAATTAATTATTTAGTAAATTTAAAAAACAAGCAACTTTAATTTTAAAATACATATAAAATCAAGCCATATTGATTTATTTGTAATATTCGGTTAATTTATTAATATAATTTTGTTAATTATTTAATAAATTAGCTTATGTATATTATAATTAGTATTATTAAATTTAAAAATATTATTTAAGTAATATAATAATAAGTAAAAAACTATGTATCATGTAAAGTTTATTGTTATACAGGAACTTGTTAATTATAATAAACATGACCAGTTTGACTTTCACAATTATCTATAATATTCTGTGAATCAGATAAGCATCTTACGTAAGTTAAATTAAATACTTAATGTAAATTAAATTAGTCATCATGTTCATCACCTTATAATTAGCAACACTATTATTTTGTTAATAATCATATAATTTTTATTAATAAATTAATGTGTAGTTTACATAAATATTTTAATATTCTTAAATCATAAAATGTTTATTTTATTACACATTTTCCGGTACATTGTTTTACAATTCTTAATAATTTTTGAAGTTATTATATTTAAATTATTTAAAATATGGGCATGCGCAAACAAAATGCTTAATTCCTTATGTATTTTGTGCAACGTCTGCGAATTATTTTTAATAACATTTCTAGGGTGACCAGATCATTATGATTCATAAATTATACGATAATCCGCTAAATTTAGGCTTGCAAATATTTATATTATAATTTTTTTCTATCAACCTTTTTTATAAAAAAATTCTTTTATTAATTCATTTTCAAATAAAATTCTAAAATATTACAAAAATTAGACTAAATTCATTTTAATACATTACAGTTGATAACACTATTAATGGTTTCTTAATTTCTTTAATAAATAAATTCAAATTTAATTTTTGTCTCATATAATACTTCCACTCAACAATAATTATGAACCAATTGTCAGATATTATTATAAATCTCAAGTCAGTTACTATTTATTTGTGCGTGTTCATTCATGGACTCATATTACCATGCACAATTGCCGAACCTATACCATTTGGTTCCCTATTTGGAGCTGTAACTGGTGCTCATCACGGATCTGATATCGGCGCTAAAACTGGACAAGATGTTTTAGGTGGAGCCACATTTGGATTTGGATCTGGAGTTGGCTCTGGGATAGGACGTGGAGCTGGCGGTCTAATTGGAACTGACATTGGATCCGCAGCTGGAGCTGGAAGTAATGGGGGACCCAGTGATGGAAATAGTACTGGTGGTGGACCCCTACAAGGAGCTGTAACTGGTGGTCATCATGGAGGAGATATTGGAGCTGATGCTGGACGAGACCTTATTGGTGGAGCCACATTGGGATTGGGATCTGGAGTCGGATCTGGAATAGGACGTGGAGTTGGATCTATTACTGGAGCTGGAATTGGATCCGCAGCTGGCGCTGGAAGTGGAATTGGACCTGGTCATGGCACTGGACCTAACTCGGGTCCTGGGTCAGTGACAGATGTCAGGCTTAAATCTGCTAACCCCCTACTTGGAGCTGTAACCGGTGCTAATGAGAGATCTGGAATTGGATCTCAAGTTGGGGCTGGTATTTTAGGTGGAGCAACAGGTGGACTCGGAAATGAACTTGGATCTGGAATTGGAAGTGGAACTGGAGCTCTAATAGGAACTGAAGTTGGAACGTTAGCCGGAGCTGGAAGTGGACTTAGTCCTCGAACTGGTGCTAGTGATCCACTATCTGGTGCTGTAATCGGTGCTAATGAAGGACAGAAAATTGGAAAAGGAGTTGGACAACAAGTTTTAGGTGGATTGACATTTGGGCTTGGAAATGAACTTGGTGGTGGAATTGGGGGTGGATTTGGATCTCTAATTGGCACTGGAATTGGAACAGTAGCTGGAGCTGGAGGTGGACTTAGTCCTGGATCAAATTCGGGGAAAGACAAACTGCTCAAATCTAGTGTTTATCTCGGAGCAAATACTGTATCTAGCGGTCCTGGGTCAGAGGCAGATATAGCATCATTGTTTTATCAATGTTTTATTGAATTGAAATGTTAACACTGTGTAGTGCTATATAATATGTTCTAGTACAAATACATAATAATGAACTATAGGCACATTATCTAATAGATTCTATTACTTACAGTTCATTGTATTGTATTTGTACTAGGACATATTATAGCAGTCACTGATACATATTAATTTTAGATAAACACACGTTTTTGTTACTTATATTATTTAAAACATTGTTAAATATTATAAAAATTAAGTTAATTTATAAACACTAATGAAGAAAATTTATAATAAAATATTGTATATTAAATGATTTAAAAATTATTATTCCAGTAAATTAAAATTTAATGATAATAGTGTTATGTTTACGTTAATTAAAAAATAACTGGTTCAAATTTTTTTACAAAAAAATATTAGGATTTTTATTTTGATTTAAACATGATATCTATATCATTATAAAATATTGTCACATATAATTATTTAAATATTATTCGTTTCATTATTATTTTATTATAAAAATATACTTTATAAAATACTGTATAATAAATATAAATATTTAATTTAATTACTTTAATAAAGTTTACAAATTCAAACCGATAGGCATGCACCTACTTGGGATTTACCTATCCATGGCTGCCTCCCTTTCCTTTTTCCTATTCATTGTTAAGCATCTGTAGGCTTATGAAAAAACACCAGTACACTTTTTCATGTGGTACTCCCATCAATATTATTATTATTGGTAGAATATACCTACTTGTGCTTGACACTTTTGTCATACGATAGAGATCTTAAGGCATAGTATTACTTGTTAACAATAGGTGGCGCCGGTGTATTTGACCATATATTTCTAGATATTGCGCAAGATTTAGATCGTGGTAAATGAAATTGATCACATTTCCTAAAAATAGGTTAACAGTTATGTGGGTAAGTTCATGGTTGAATGTTATGGTATTTATGTATTACCTAGTATTTAGTTTAATAATTAAAAATAAGATAGGCCATTTGTATCCAAATTATACCGCTTCACTCAATTGCCAATGGTAGGTAAAGGTTATAATATTCTAAATTATCATGATAAATTATGTCAATAATTTTTGTAAATTTATAAAATATATATAGTTAGCTACTTTACCCAAATAATTACCATGGTACATATCATAAAAGTCATCAAAAATATTTTCTATTTCACCCACTACCGTATCCATGGACGGCCTAACAGTAGAATCCTTATCCCAACACCTAGTCATTAGATTTTCAATATTTTGTGGACAGTTAACAAAACGTTGGGGCCGTTCACCACTAATAACTGCCCATAGAATAGCGTATATCGAATCGAGCAAGGTAAATGGTAATTGTCTGGCCATTAATTCCCATACAATTACCCCAAAGCTATAGACATCACATTTTTCATTGTATTGGTTATCTCTAAATACTTCGGGCGCCATCCACCTTGCTGATCCCTGTGTTTTGAATTTAAATAATTATTTTGTAAATATCATGTTAGTGTAATACGATAGTATTGAAAATATGACAATTTTTGAAATTTAATTGTTGGTTAAATTAAAAACATAACTTCCATACGCAAAACATTACCGTGTTATTTGACATGGTGTTGGCTACATAGCGAGCTGTGCCTAGGTCACCAATTTTTAGTAAACCTTTGTTAAATAATAACAGACTATAAATTAACAGAAAATTCAAATTAAAACTTTTTTTTAAATTTAATTTAATAACAAAAATACTTTTGCGGTTTGAGGTCCCGGTGCACGACAGGGTTGGGTAGCATGGAGTGCATATAAGAGACACCGCGAGCGCATTGATACAGCCATGAGAGCGCCTGTATCATTGTATAGGGAACCGGTATCTCGGATGCGTATAATTCTATAATAAATGTTTATTTTAATAATAACTTATAAGTAATACTAAAACAAAACCGATATAAAAGTAGAGTTAAAATGTTGGTTTGGATTTGACTTTAAAACCCCACCCCACCTCACCTATCACCCCAGGTGGGGTGGGGTTTTAAAGTCAAATCCTGTTGGTTTTGCTTAAATTCCTTTCATTTACACATTTAGTCTGAAATAAATTATCAAGTTTAGATTTGTAACATACCATGGTGCAAACTTCCACACTCGGTAAACTCCATGATCAGCCACTGAGAAATATTGTCGCGCGCAGTGGCCAATAGTAGCACTATATTTGGGTGTATTAATTGCGATAGTTGTGCTAGCTCAGCGTCGTAATGACTTGCATTAATAGTCTTTACTTGTTTAACCGCCACCGTATTACCATTCCACACGCCCCTGTATACATCACCATACGCCCCACGGCCAACTACCTGTCCCAATTGGACGTCCGATGGCTGTATATTTTGCATAGCTTGTAGAGTTCCGTACAGTTTGTGTCCACAATCGGGTATGAAGTGGGACTGGTATGTGCTGGTGCGGTTAGTCAATATATTTGCATTTGACTGTTAGTTACCGTATCAAACAAACAAGACTTTTGCAAATAAATAAAACTAAATTATTTTACAAATTAAAAAGTAATTAATTTAACCGCTTAGTGCTATAGACATTCATATGACTGAAGTATATTTGCATAATGACATAAGTCTCAATGCATATAATGAACTTTGATTAATTAATAATTCATATCCCTGTACATATATTTCATAGATTATTATGAAGTCTTATAATTAAAGGTTTTATTTGTTTTATTAAAATAATTTAAAAATTAAATATATTTTTAATCATATGTTTAGTTTATTGATCTGTAGTTTTCTAAGTATTGAATAATTTTATTCATTCATTTAATAAACAAGTCATTGATATAATATATCTGTAATAATTTTATTGCAATAATTTTTACAGTAATAATTATATTCATTATATTATTTATATTAGAAATTTTAAAAAGTGTGAGAATGTTTATGATAATATTTTTCAATTTCAATTATTAATAATTTACCCATTTTATTTATCAATTTTGTGTTTATAAAAATCATATATATTTAATAACTAATCATTTCTAACAAAATTTAATTTATAAGTCATACATATAAATGTAATTTGTAATGTCTTATGATTAATTGTTTATATAATAAAAATAATAATCTTATATTGTATACAAATGAATCATACAAAAAGTTAAATTATGATTCAAAGATTATTTCATAAAGTTATCATATTATTACATTATAAAAAGACAATTATTTTACCAGTACCAATATATTACAATGAAACCAACATTTGCCTTACAGTAAAGCTAACTTTGCATAACTTACTCAAAACTAGGTTTACAGTATAAGTTAAACATTTAAGGTAAAGTTAGGTTAGTTTAATTGGCGGCACTGTAATGCAAATGTTAGCTTAACTGAAATATATGAGCTAGGGCAAAATAGTTAACATCGAGATATTATATTTGTAAGATTGTCAAATATTTTTTCGTAAACCTAGGGATCGAAGTTCAGGTTTGTCACACTTCATACCTTTGTCAAAACTGGACATACTCTCTACCGGGTGTTTACCTAGAATATAGAAATATAATATAATTAGCATTATAAACACCCGTAATATGTATACCTTGTGGTGAATGAGCAGTACCGGGCGATTGTTTAGCATCGAGATTAAACTCACTTATTGGTCTTAGTGGCAAATGTGGTAAATCAACTATGACAAAATTCAAAATTATTAATAATTTCAAATATTACGTTGATAATTATGTACGATTTAAGTTGGACATAAATCGCTTAAGGATTTTCACCACGTCGTCCATGGACGGCCTAAGTGCTAACTCCGGTGACCAGCATATAGTCATTAGATTTTCAATAACAGATGGACAGCCCTGTAAAAGGAAGGGCCTTTTGTTTCTATGCACCGCCCATAGTATTGTTTCCATGCGCTCGAGCCGATCGTATGGGAGCCTACGGGCCAACACCTCCCACAATATTATGCCCCAACTATATACATCACACTTTTCATTGTATGTGGTGCCCCTGAACACCTCCGGTGCCATCCACCTAGCCGTGCCCTACAATTAATAAAGTTAACCAGATTATATATGTATGTATTATTATTATAGAGTAAAAGTCAAGGTAAAATTTCCTATCTATTTAGTAAATGAAGATGATAAAATTATTAAACCGAATTGTCAATATTAGTATTTGAGCGATATTATTTCAACATTGGTGTAATATTAGTGAATAAGCAGTGTAATTTAAGCAATAATAATAAACGCAAAGCTGAAAGTTATCATTAAAGTTATTGGAGTTCAAAAGTAGTGCAATATTTTGTAACCATGGTACTTACAATACAATTTTCCATGTATTGGGACACGTCGCACGCTGTCCTGAAATTGCATATTTTTAGCTCTGTATTTCCATTAAATAGTAACAAGCTAAAATCAAATAAGATATTAAAATTTTATGTAATGTTGTAATGTGCAGATCAAATTTAATACACCTGGGATCATAAAACAAAATCCATACTTTAGGTAATTTTGAATTGAAAGCTTTTATAATGTGTAATAAAGCTTACAATTCACAAATAACCCAAAAAGGTGGGATTTGTAATAAAATACCTGAAAATAAATATTATTTTAAAAATCATTACTTCGGAGACTTGAGGTTTCGGTGGACAACCGGTTTTGGTTGCATTGAGTGCAGGTATGCGACACCTCGTGCGCACTGGTAGACCCATGAGAGTGCCTGAGACATGGTGTATGGCACCCAGTATTCATCCCCATGTAGTACTTAACCAAAATTAATCAGGTTAAAAAATTTGAATTTGAATATACAAATTAATAAGTTAGGTAATTGGTTTTAGCTTACAATGCTTAAACTTAGTATTATTAAACTAATCATTATTTATAAAAAATTTATAATAATATCAAGCAAGATTTTTGGTCATGTTAAAGTAAAGAACTCTAACATTTGATTAACATCTCTTTTTAAAAATAATTCATGCAAAATGCTTAATGGTTTATTAACTTCATCATTAGCACATCATTGTAAGTTGATAACTTATTACCCTGGTCATATATATATAACATACAGTTAAATAGATTGCCGCACTCGGCATACTCCATGATCAGCCATAGATAGTCATTGCAACGGGCGGTGGCGTACAGTCTGACAATATTTGGGTGATTTATTCGCGACAATTGTGCAAGCTCATTATTATAATCGGAAGTTTGCACTTTATCTATTTGCTTTACGGCAATAGTATCACCTCTCCACACACCTTTCCATACTGCACCAAACGTACCCCTCCCTACCACCTATCCTCAAAAATAATAAAACTAAATTATCCATGATCATTTATAATATAGTTATTACACCAACCTCATTTAATTGGATGTCCGATTTATCGATAATTTCGATGATATACGACTGTTTTGAATCCCATATTGGGTCCGATATGTGACCCTTATTACCCAAGGATTGCATTATTATTTAATAAAAAGTGCCTTGTTAATCAAATTATAAATATTACACAGAATTATTACTGAATAAGTAAAAAATTAATAATAATTATTATATTAAAATAATTAATTTATACCCAGTTAATTATTTTAGTTTTTAACAATTAATTTTTTGGAAATATTATATTTAACTGCTATTTAAGCATACTACAAAAACGTAACATTAACTTTGATAAACTGTAAAGTTTACTATATTTTTACTTATCGTAAACAAAATTAGTCATCAGACCTTCATGTGAAACTTAGCAACAATATTTCTTACAATTTTATAAATAATTAATCAGCTGTTTACATTAAATATTTTATCATTATTACATATACTAAATGTATATTTTATTGCTCGTTTTCCGGTAAATTGTTTTACAATTATTAATAAATTTAGCAATTTCAAATATAAATTATGAGAATGCGCAAACTAAATTTTAAATTCCATACGTGCTTTTGTAAAGTAACTTTAACTTACGCTAATTAGTTTAATAAAATTTCTAGGGTGACCAGCTTATTATAATTCATAAGTCATACAATAATCAGATAAATTCATGCTTGCACATATTAATTATTCTATCAATCTCTAATATGTAAAAATTAATTAATAAATTAATATCAAAAATCAATTTCAAACTAAATTCTAAAATATTTTATTATTTTTAGTTAAATTTATTTTATTACAAAATAGTTGGCAACACTACAAATGGTCTCCTTGTTTTTAAATAATTAAATTTTTTATTATATAAAACTTAGCCAATACAATAATTATGAAACTATTGTCGAACACTATTAGTTTCAAGGAAGTTACTATATTTTTGTGCGTGTTCATTCAAACACTAATATTCCCATGCATAAATGCCGTGCCTATTCCATACCCTCAGTCTGGACATGATCCTGGAAGTACTATCGAACCAACCAGTGCAGGAACTGGACCTAATCCTGGAACTACTATCGAACCTACCAGTGCAGGGACCGGACAAGATTCTGGAAGTACTACCGAACCTGCCGGTGTAGGAACTGGGCCCGCATTAACTAGAGTTGAACCCAATCCGGGAACTGGACCTGATTCTAGAATTACAACCGAACCTATTGTTGGAACAGAATCAAACAGTGGTTCTGAGTCTACGACATTTACTAATATGAATGTAACTTCTGATGGCACACCTGGAACTGTATCTGGTGCTGATGGTGGAGATGAATCTGGTTCTGAAGTGGATGTGATTCTGCGAGCGAGTCCGGGTGAACAATCAGATTCGGATAACAGTTCTGGAGCTGGAACTAAAACTGGAGGTAAACCTGGAACTGGACCTGTAGCTAGTGCTGTAGCTGGAGCTGCGCCTGTACCAAGTGCTAGTGCGACAATTAGCAATGGTCCTGGGTCAAACACAGATATAACTATTACTGTCAATTCTTATGGCGGTTCTGGATCTGTTGCTGGAGCTGGAACAAAACCACCTGAAACTATACCTGGACCTAAACCTGTAGCCTACCCACAACAAGCTTATGGAGAACAAGGTAACCATTATCATATAGTTAACCCATAAAATGAGAACTAATTACTTATATATCAACCTTATCATCAGTACCTGCACCAGTAGCTTACTCCTTAACACCTTGGCAGCAACTACAATTACTGGCACCGCCTCGTAGCCAAGGCCTACTGGGCGGCTTGACAAGTGCCCTACCAGTAGGGGGGCTACTAAAAAGCCTGCTAAATATTGTACCATTAGAACAAACCATTAGTGGACTGCCAATAGCGGGTGGTCTAGTAAGCCAACTAGGATTGGGTAACACATTACGATCGTTGCCTGTAGTGAGCGACGTATTGCCGACGTTGTTAGGCGACACGGAGGTGCTGGGTATGAATCTGAACAAAAATAGGCCTCAAGTGTATGACCCCCGGGTGGGTAGGTATGTGCCCGTATACGGGGGATTCGACCAACGGTTTAACCTACTCGAAAATAGGCTAAAAGGCCTCGGTGGTGGTTTAACTGGACCGCTTAATGGTCTGTTAGGGTCGGCCACGGGCGTTTTGGGCGGGATATTACCCGGGGCAACGGGCGGGTGGGCACCCGGTGGGTCAAATAATGTTCTAGTTAATCTCGGTATCGGTGCAGCTTTAAAGCTAGGTTAAATAAATAAATATATTAGTATATAATTATTGTTTTTAATATGGTAAAACAAAATTTTGCGCATTGTATTAATTAAATTTTGTCTAATAAAAAATAAAAAATTCATAAATTTGTTTTATTAATTAAAACACGTTAAGTAAATTTTAATTTTAATATACTTATGTTATCTTACAGTTTAAAGTAGTTTATAATAAATTGCACTTTTTAAAAATAATATTTTAAAACATTGATATTTATTTAAGTTATTTTTATTTTATTACAAATATAAAAACTGTTTGAAAAAATATTTTTTATATATCAATAATTAAACATATTTTATTATATAATTTTTTATTTTACAGCATAACCTAAAACACTCATGTAAAGTTTATAACCTATTGCAAAACCATTTGTTACAATATTTTTAAAAAATAATCTGAAAGTTTAATATTATATTTTATTAGCTGTAATTCAAAATTTCAAATTTTATATTAAATTTGAAAAATTAATAATTTCTAATATATTATACAATATAATCCACTATAATTAAAACTTTACATATTAACTAATTAATTTAGCAACCATATTTGCAAAATAGTAATCCATAATAATCACGACTAAAACTAAAATCACGCCAAAATGGCCGCAAAAATCACCGAATTTTCTGAGATGACGTCCACCGCCCAGAGTCTGACAGCCGTGTGCGCCAACCCGAACATCGACATTCACGACACATGTCTGGCGTTGTGTCAGAAATACATATCCGGAGTGTGGAGTCGCGTCGATCGCGAGGACCTCATTATCATTACCATAAAGGGTGGGATCACTAACCAGATATACCAGTGCTATATCATGGAGGGGTCGCTCAAGAGGTACGTACAAAATATCCCTAACAATTACACGCAGGGTCGTGTCCATTTGATAACTAGAGTAACCAATGGACAGCCAGTTCCCGAGCCCACCGAAATGTGCATACGTTTGAATGGCCCCATCATAGGTCCAATGGTGCTGATCGGTCAGACCTCCCGGTTCTCGGACGGCATAATAGTACCGCTGGTCTCGTACGCGGGTTTGGGACCCGAGTGCTACGGACTCGACCCCACGGGACAAGTGCTCCGGTATTACAGGAACCGGTTGTTCGACAAAAACGACTTAAACAACGAGCACCTCGTGGGACAGTTGGCCCGAAAACTGGCCAAAATCCACGCCCTACCTGTCCCACTGGCCAAGGATAAGGACTGGCTGTTGGAGGCGTTCCGGGAACGGGTGGCGCGACTAAAGGACCCCGACTTTCGCAGCGAGTTGTTAGGGCTGTACGAGCGGCACAACTGTCACACGATAGCCGCCCACGACTTGAGCGCAGAGTTTCAATGGCTTACGGATTATATTGTCGCGCATTGGACGGCGTGTCCCCTCGTGTTCGCGCACAACGACTTCCGCGACGGCAACCTACCGGTGACGGAGGGCCAGGAGCTGGTGGTCACCGAGCTTTGACGTGTCGTGCTATGGCGCCCGGGGCTACGATTTTGGCAACTTTTTCGCCCCGTTTATCACCGGCGACACGGATTTCGGTGATACCGGCGCTGAGTTCCCGCTGGAGTCCGTTATGAAGGTATTCCTGGAGTCGTATGTTAGGGAATGGGAGGCGCTGTCGGGTGGGGACAGTAGTGATAAAACGTATAATTTGGCCGAAAATATGCTCCGGGAGGTCAAGGTGTACGTAATGGTGTACCAGTTGGTGGTAGTGTTGGCGTTCACGGATGAGACCACTCGTAAGGGACTACCACTGTATGAGAGGTCACTGGTCGTGATGTCCGAGTCGGCCCTCAATATGTATACGGCTATCAAAAAGCGGTTAATCGCCGATAAAATTATTAAAATGTGATTTATAAATAAATTATAAACTATTATAATAATTAAATGAGGTTTTATTAAATTTTATGTAAACTTAAATAAAATTAATTCACAATCTATATCCCAGTTTATAATCTAAAAATAAAAGTTATATATTTTCTTAAAAATAACACTTTATTACAGTTATTAAAATCAAAATTAATATAAATTGCATTTAAAAATGTTAACTAGAGCTTGAGTTATCACAATTTAATTTTTAAAATTTTACTTTCTAATTGTAGTTTTAATAATAGCATAAATAAATACTTACTATTTTGTTTTTATTAATAATAAAAATAAACTTTACACTTGAATTATTTTAATATTTAATTTTTCTAATCACTCATACTAATTAATTAATTAAATTCACTCTAGTAAAATTTTTTAAAAATCATCTACTACAAATAATATCTATATAATTAAATACGCTGAACATCGGCCTCGCAAATCGCCACTTCCCTCACGATAACCTTCAACACCTCGTACTCCTCATCGGACACCCGTCCCTCATACAAATCCAACTGACCCCGGACCTCCTGATCCAGCTCATCCATGGGGTACGTGCGCCACAATAGTATCTCGGTCTCTTTGCTCGGCTTATACTCGAGATGAGTAGTCACGTAGCGGTACATCTCAACCAAAATAAAGTTATTAAACAAATTTAAGGCCAAAAATCGCAGATAACTTGTATTGTATTTCTCGAACAAATCGATATATCGCTGACCCATA